AAGCTTAGAATTGAGAGTCTGGCTCACAAGTTTCACGTGTTCCGCTTCTGTTTGACCTGCTCCTTGGCGGAGCTCGGGTGGAAATGATCGGCTCAAGGGTGCACGGTGAGCACGAATTCGCCATGGCCTGAATTCGTTCGACATGAATCAGTTCATGGAGGCCTTAAGCTGGAGGTGAACTTGCTCCTCTTACAGAGAGGGCACGGCTGTGCGTGTGGAGATTCTGTGGGAATGTCTGTGAGATCAGAAAACGGCAAGGCCCTGCTAGGCGTCAGCCCTTGGATCAACAATCACTTCAGGCAGACAGGAGCGGAAATTCTGCCTCAGGATCTCCTCGGCATTCCTTCGGAAGCCACCACCAAAAAGTCTGCGATTGACGGGATGTCAAAGCTACAATCCCGGATGGATGTGCGTTTCAACTAACTCCAACTCCAACTCGGTGGCTGCCCCCCCCGTGGCTACAAAGTGAAGTTGGCCAAAAAGTCCTGGTTCCTTTGCGCAAACCCTGGACTTTCTCGATTCTTTGAGACACCTGTGGTCTTCCTCCCGTGAAGCGAATCTCAAGCGGATTCCAAAGACAGTGAAGCGAATCTCAAGCAAACAAATGAAAGAAAACGCCAAGGGTGCATTGTCACTTTAGGACCCAAGTAGACACCGAGGTACTGGCTCCATGGCGAGTTAGAGTACTGGCTCCAGGGCTTCTGCAAGTCACCCAACTGTTCATGCATTGTCATTTTGTGCCCAACTGTTCATGTCAATGGCGATCCTGTCAATGGCTCATCCGAACGGTGAAAGCTGCGTCGAGACGCTCCCTCCACCGGAAGCCGACCGGACCGGACCTGCAGGGGATCTTTTCACAGCTGCGGCCGTGGTGAGCTTAGCGGCTGAAGGCCCATGGCGTGTGGAGCTGCATCTTTTGAGGGTGAAATCCGGCGAAACCGGGAAATCGCATGGCGATGAGAAGTTCGAAAGAACCAACTCTCGCAGGCAGAACGCGGGTTCCGCCACACTGTCCGCGGTGAGTTGGCTGGGATTCTATGATGGACCCCAATGAATTGTCATCACTGGCTGCTCTTGGCTGGGAGTTGGACGACAAAGAGTGTAACTACTTAGTAAAGTCACGTCTCTTTTTCATTCACCTCTGCTTCCGGTCGCATCTTTTCATGACGTGATGGACGAAATCGTGATTTCAAGTGAACCAAAGAAATAAAGGACTGCAAGGTGTCGCTCTTCAGCCTGAATGGAGCATACCGATCGGATGAGACGAGTACGACGTGACACGCGAGACGGCAGAAGTGGCAGACAATTTCCAGCGCCAGGGCCAGCTTGCCTTCCAAGAAAACGTTTGCCATAGATGAAATCATTATCATCTAATGTTTTCTGATGCTGTCTACATTATCAGTGGTACAGTACAGTTTGTTTTTCTTAGGTTATATATCCAGAATGCTGCGGAGGCCGCAGGCTCACAGTTGGAGCACACGGTACAAGTCTCAACTTCGGTCTGGAGCTCTTCCCGGAAAGTTTTGAAACGACGATCCAACATGCCATAAATTTGATGGAATTTCGGCGGTGGGTCGGGTGAGAGTTGCTTCTGAGCACTTCAAAGCAATGTTTGGGCTGGCTACCCATCATGTCATACACACATGCCAAGAGGGCGAGAGAAACATCAAAACGCCACAGACCAATGCTTCCACAAATCAAAACACCATCATGCGGACCAGCGCTGGTCAACACTGGAGTCAGTTGCTGGCAGTCAAGACCGCTTGTTGACGGACCAGTCAAGACCGCTTCTTACTATGTTCTTGACCCCTGGGAGTTTGAGTATGGCATCCTGCCACGGAGACACACCTTGAAATTACCTTGCCTTGAAACAGAAAACAGTTGCTCAAAATAAGGCGCGTTTGTGTAGCTCAATATCAACGTATCGTACCTGCATCCATTCCAGGCGCATCCTCTCATTGTATTTGGAGCAATCAAGTGCTCTTCCGCAGTTACTGCCTTTAAGCACACTGTTTGGTTCCAACTATGCTGCGAGCCTTTGTTTAATGCAGTTTGAAGACTGGGGGAAGCATTTTGACAATTTTTCCTACTTGTTAATCTCTCTGTCGCTGATGGCTTTAATCATTCAATTCCATGATGCCCTTTTGTACCTCCGGATGCGGCGAACAACCCAAACGGCAGCTCAGAAGGAAGTTCACAAAGAAAGCCATGCCCCTTTATCAATGGTTGAGCAATGATTGAGTGGTGGTGGAACATGAAGCCTCTGCTCCATGATTGAGTCAGAGTAGTCGCAGCAATGCATGACACATTCAGCCATTATCCGTCCTCACAAAGCAACAAATCTACACCTGAGCCGACAGCAGTGACAGATCAAGACACAACTACCGACACCACATTCAGCACGAATCAAAGTTTGTCTCTCCAAGAAGTGCATCTTTCGGACACAACATATGCTAGCCGCTAGCACATAACTCAAATACCAAACAGCAAGTGACTTTTTACAGCAGAAGATGCACCTGTGCAAAACAAGGCCTTTCAAAAGTCAGGGAAACAATTTATTGCAACACTATTTGGCACCCCAACCCGCACGTTTGGCGCACGTTTGGTCTGCACACCTGACCCAAGACACGTCTAGTGCGCGCGCGTGTGTGTGTGTGTGTGTGTGTGTCACACCCTGGTTCTAAGGGTTTTCCACGTTCTCACCTTTCCACTGTAACGAGGCATGTTCCACTTAGTCCATCACTGCAGGGGGCAGGAGTGCCATTGCAAGTCTCCTGCCAACGAAGACGCTTGCAATTGGCAGTGAAACCAGACCTGATCAGTCTGGCGTACCTGCGAACAATTTTTGAACTTTTGACCAAGCCGTTCCCAATCTTTCCTCGTTGTTTTCATGGTGGTTCATGTTACTTCCCACAAACCATTTTCCTGGCGCGTTGCAGATGCTGACCGTCACTTGTCGTTTGAGCGCTTTCAGAAACATTTTTCAACAATACTGTTTTACGGACTGACTCACCTTGCGGTTCCCTCACCTTCCTTCCCATCGTGGCAATTGAGTCTAACTGAAAACCAAGTTCGAAGTGTGGACCGCTCAGTCTTCCCACTCGGGTACTGGGTGTGACCCTCCGAAAGGAGGCGCTGAAACCATTCCGGAAGTCACCGACCCTCCACCTTTATAACTGCCTTTCCGTTTGTTCCACTTTATCCCTGAATTAACTGATTTTCGAGCCGCCGGGCTATAAGCGACGGATTTTCTACCCAAAATTCTGAAATCCACCCGTGTTGTGCATTGTTACATCCTTCAACTTTTAATTTTTCAACCGCAGCCGTTTAGCAAACGATCAGCTTTCGCATGCTCCGCATTGCAGATCTCAGGGATTGCATTGCATGCCAACGCCACCGCTGCGGCTGAAGCCCTGGTCCACCTATACGCCCAAAAAGGGCATGACCTGCACGCGTGCAGGCGGTTTTTGAGAGGAAAAGGTCCGTTTTCTCCACCGCTTTGACTGTGCGCCGATAACGGCTTTTTGTGTGTGTCACACCCTGGTTCTAAGGGTTTTCCACGTTCTCACCTTTCCACTGTAACGAGGCATGTTCCACTTTGTCCATCACTGCAGGGGGCAGGAGTGCCATTGCAAGTCTCCTGCCAACGAAGACGCTTGCAATTGGCAGTGAAACCAGACCTGATCAGTCTGGCGTACCTGCGAACATTTTTTGAACAAGCCGTTCCCAATCTTTCCTCGTTGTTTTCATGGTGGTTCATGTTACTTCCCACAAACCATTTTCCTGGCGCGTTGCAGATGCTGACCGTCACTTGTCGTTTGAGCGCTTTCAGAAACATTTTTCAACAATACTGTTTTACGGACTGACTCACCTTGCGGTTCCCTCACCTTCCTTCCCATCGTGGCAATTGAGTCTAACTGAAAACCAAGTTCGAAGTGTGTGCACCCTGCGATCACGACATGCGGGTCATGCAGTCAATTCTACAGTGCAAAGGGAAGCGATCCTGGAACACAATACACCTACACTGCTGCTTGATTCATTCGAGGACGCTCTCTGTCTTCGGCTCAGCCAAGAACCGAAAATCATGTCGTGAACATGTAACATGCTCATGAACGGTTACTTGGCTGAGCCTCATGTCGTGTCATGTCATGCCAGTAACTGTTACATGCTCATGTTTCTTTCTTTCCTTTTTTTTAGAATCCGGTGACTTCATCAGTCATCGACGGTGTCGTGAGTACCTTGGACGACATGACCAAGGTAAGCTCCTCCACATTCTTCCCACATCCAGAGTGACACCCGAACACGATCTCCAGAAGGGAGAAAAACCCTGGTGTGCACCTCAGGAAACTGCGGGCGTGAGCCAGTGAGCAAACAAGCTGCTGCTTTCGTGAGCCAAGCGGTGTGAGCGCCAAGCGCTCCTTCTCTGGCGCTCTCAGGAAATCCGCTCGGCGCACAAACACGTCCTTTTCAGCAAGGCCCGCTTACTAAGGACCTGACAAGGCCGGACGATGATGTAAGTATGTAGACCTGAAGTCCTTCACCCCGGCGCTCAACTTGGGAAAGCAACCCAAGATGTAAGAACTGAGAAACAAGTCCGTGAGAAACTTTCACGCATGGCCGAAGCTGAGCTTGTATGACACCGGCCGTGCCTGTTATTTTTTGAATTGTCGCGTATGTGTGTGTGTGTGTGTCCGCTGAAAGAGCTTACCCTACGCGGGTTTGATGGTCAAAACAAATGGCACGGACCAGGATTCCGTCTGATGGCACAGACCAGGATTCGACTCATCTACTCCCTCAGTTGCTTCCGTCCACCTCCCTATCCCAGACACTCCTTGTATGGTATATTTACCTAGGGTGGCTTGAGGGGTTAGTGTATATATAGGCATATATGACCCGACATGGAGTGTCTGGGTATAGTGGAGCTGTTTGGACAGGCTTTTCCAAAGCCAGACTGAGTGGCTTACTTCAGCTTTCCTTCCAGACCTCTGCATCCAAGATTCATCTCCTGCACATACGGGTCGAGCTTGACCTGCCGATGTTGGTCGCGCCCGGTGAAGAGGGACGCGACTTTGTCGCGCCCCCACTGCGTCCGAAACATGCCGAGTGTCTTGACGAAGAGGGACGTGGCAAAATGAACAGGACAGTTTAGCTTGCAGATCTTCAGGTCCTCAAGAGATTCTGCTTGTTCTTCTTGACGGCAACCCCACGTTTTTTTTTACGCCAGGGAGTCCCACAGTGCTTGTGGAAGACTTGACCAAGTCTTCCTTCTGTCCAACCAAACAGGTCCCTCTTCTCAAGCGGTGTGGAAACCCTTTGTGTTCTGCTTGGATGGGTAACTCAATTCTCTCACTCACCTCCGAAGATCAACACCCCCTGCTTCATACAGTTGTTTAGGTGGCAGGTCAAAGAAACGGAACGACAACGACTCTCGCCCAAACGACTGCTCCTTCCCCACCAAGTTCCGGTGTCCAAATCCCAGTCTCCTGCAGGATCTCATCCAGTGCACTGCAGGCCTCGCGATCGTCAGGTCAGGTGGGGCCCCCATCAAAGAAACTTCTTAGATTCAAGAGAAACCAGGTGAAAGCTAGCCAATAGCGATGGCCTCCACCCTAGAAGCGCTGGCCTCCGATCTTCCAACGATGCGTTTCCATGGCCTTTGGGGGCTCGATATGACGTTTGCTTCGGTCTTCTCGCGACGGGTCGGAGCGGAAACGAAGACCTCGTCTTTGAGAGGAATGGCTTCCTGATCCGAAGCGAAGGAGACCGGGGCACAGGCAATCAGAACCTCGAGCCCCTCAAAACCCCAAGACGGCCCAAATGACCCCTCATGGATCCACCTACTCTCTGAGGTAGGGTGATGTGTTCAACACTGTTATGTAGGTGCCTGGGTCGGGTCCAAGATCCCTAGGGTATAAACCCACCGCTTGGGAAGACTGAGCCCTTCGAGTCTTCACAGACCATAGGCCCCGGTGTTGTTTTTTCCACAAGGGGTTCCACCAAGGACCATATCAATTCCACAAGGTGTTCGATCAAGGGATGTCTATGTTCTGTTCGTTTTGCCTCCAAAACATGCGCACTTCCCTGGGTAGGTCGCGAGGCCATGCAACGCCACAAGGCCCAAGAAAGACTATTATATATATATATATTGCCAGTCCAGGGAGTGTAGAGGTGGAAGTTTTCCACCAGGGACGACGCAGCCCTGGAAATCACACCGCGGAGAGAAGCCCTTCTGGCACTCTTTGACTTGTCTTTGCAGTGCGTGATGCTTTTGCCGGCACTGCAGTCGAGCATCCGCGGACGGCTCTCGCCAGTCTGGGCAACCAAGGCACTTGCTTTTCGATGGCTTTTTGGAACAACCTTGGTAGGCCAACGAGGTACTTTTGGAAACCGTTAGGGTCAGTTTGGCCATATTGGTTGGACACTGGGGGGGCATCCCCTCTATCAAGCAACCAACCACAACGGTAAAAGGCCATCCATGATCACTTTTCAGGGCAGATCCTTACTTGGCCGTCTCGTCCTTGTCGCAGGCCGGCCATGGCCATGACTCTGTATGTGCTGTTACCGAGGCCAAATGCTGTGATATGCTGTGATATGCTGTGGTCCTGGAGATGAGTCCTAACCCAAGAAACCTAAAGACAGAAACAATTTGTCTCCCGTGACTTCCCTCAACCTATCTCACCACCGGCAAACTGGGGAAGATTCATGAAGATTCTCCATGAGTGGCACTGGAATCCAGAGAAACCCTCTGGCACCAGTCTTCCTACCTCCAAGGCAAATTGCAATCTTCGTCTCAAATTGGACCACATTAAGATCTTCAGGCAAAGTTCGTGCATACTTGTGAAGAGAGCCTTCATCTGCGGACTTACTGGTCTTTTGCCCGACGATTCTGGGGACTACTCTGAGGCCTCCGAGATGCCAAAGAATGAAGCGAGGTGGGCCATAACCCATCTGCACAGTTAGCGAAGCATCACCAGCATAGGCTGGTAATCACACCCCTTACCACCAGGAGCTGTTTCTTAAATGGACCATCCGTGGGGTGCCCCGAACATGTGACCACCAGTCTGACGAGCTTTGGACACCCAAAACAAACGCTTCATCGTTATAGCCCAGGATTCTTAGGGATGTAGCCACTGTAGCCCTTCAAAAACCTCTCCTAGAATCCACACTGCCACTTTGATAATTCATTCCTGTTCCCCAAATCCGGTTCTTCTTGTTGTCTCAGACATTAGGATATTCCAACCAGCCAAGTCTAGTGGTCCATACCAAAATATACAAAAAGACTCTGCACAAACTGAAAGCACTTGCTCAAAGCCTCAGTTTGCAACCTCCGACTCCAGACGACTCCAGACGAGCCTAAAACCCGCCGAACACCCTCCGTGCAGCCGCATCCCACGGCCCCCGACGGCCCCTCGGACCGAGGCACATGCTGGTAAAGGGCCGGAGGATCTTCAAAATCCGATCCTGCAAGCCACAGGATGAAAGCCGGTGGGATTCGGGCGTGGGACGTGCCAGGACGTGCCAGAACCCATGCACAAAAAAGCATCCAGTGGACGTTTTGGGGGGTCGGTCCCAAGGAATAAGAGTCTGTTCTTGCACAACACTTGAGGGTTGACAGGCCCACCTTTTCGAATCTAAGGTTCAGGACTTGCTCCATATATATATTATACATACATCATGTAATATTCCCAGTCCTTCTTTCCAGTCCTTCTCTTGCTCTAATACACTTCTGCCACCGGGACGGACCCCGTCCCGACGCTTCGGACCACCGTCCGGACCCAAAACCGATCCGCTCGGACCCCAAAACCGGTCGAGGTCGTCCCCAACGGCCGCTGCCGAGTCGCAAGACATGGTCCCAAGACATGGTTTGGTGTCCAAAGACATCGTGGTGTCCAAACCAAGACATCGTTGTTTTTTCTGGTCCCCCTGACATAGATGAACCGGTTGGCACGGTGTCCAAGACATTTTTGGGTGGGGACGGGATCGACTGTTTCGATCTATTCGGGGGACGGCATGTTTTTTCGAGTGATGTGGGATTTGCTCTACAAAAAAGATGTGGCTATCACCTGGGATGGGTCCTTATCACAAAGAATCAGTCGATGATGCAATGATGCTGAGATATGCTCAGCCACTGAGCAAAGGTCTTTATGAGCATTTTATCGTATCTCTCTCGCGAGAATGAGACATGCCCAAGGTATGTCTCTCATAGGCAAAATCGCTCCCACATGAATCTTCTGCCCAACAAAATGCACCTTAAGCATCGTTAAGCACGGCCCTCGTCAAGTTGGAAGGGAAAAAGCCGGCTTTTAAAGCGTCCAAAGTGGACACATGGTGAAATCGCTGTGAAGTCCTTTGCCTTCCACATCTCATCTGGATGGCACCATGATGGAAGACTCAGAGTATTTTGGATGATTTGGCTGGGATGATCCTAAATTTTACACGCTACTAGGAGCAAGGACGCTACTAGGGGCTCCTGGCCTTACTACTAGGAACAAGAAGCTACTAGGGGCTCCTGGCATCGCTACTAGGAGCAAGGACGCTACTAGTTTGGGTTAGACAACGAGGGCCAATCTAAGGGGCCTATGTGAGCCACGATTTCCAGTCACAAGGATTGACCCAGATCCAGAGCTTCAGTGAGGGTGAAGGTGGTGCAGAAATTTGACACCTGCTGGAAGGTGATGCTTGAACCCCTCGCTGGAAACCCTAGCACAAGCCGCGATATCCAAAACAATATATACAATACAAGTGGCTAGTAGCCTGCTATACTGACAGGTTGACAAGGAATCGTAATCTGTGCTACCCCAGCCAAGTCCATTTATATGCCTTGTCCTTCCTGCTCACTTCCAACCTTCAGAAAAAAACACAACTGAACAACAAGCAGCCCCGGTTCAGCTAAGACTCTGCCGCCCAGAGGACATAGCTCTCCTTGCCCAGTTCCACTTCAGCTGCAAAGGCCTCGGCTTTCGGCGTGCCACGGCGTGCTGCGGAGCTCCGGAGCGGCGGAGCTCCCGAGCTGCGGAGCGTTTCCGCTGGGGTCGTTGGTCAAAGCACGAGCCTGGTGTGACGATGCGATGAGCCCGGTGTGCCTGGGTGGAGCCTCGAAGGATGGACATGTTGACAGGGAACTGAGGACTGATCACTCGACCATCGGCAACGAGGCGCGACGAGGCGCGACGAGGTCAAAGTCCCTGAGCTTTTGAAAGGCATGTTAAGTGGTCAACGATGTCAACCTGTAGGCCATCATGCTGATGTGCTACGATCAAAAAAGCATAAAGAAGCATCCAACTTGCTAAGTTCAGCAGCAATAAAATGTCTTTGAACGGCTAATTAGAGGGGCTAGAAAAAGCATATAATCTAGATAAGTTCTTTCTAGATCTGTCCCCGCTTCAACACGCAAAACTCAGAGTAGAAGAAAAGGAAACTCCGAAGCTCATTTGAGGGAAACAACCTCTATCGAACAGAAAAAGAAACACCAAGGGTGAACCCCTATAGAAGTGAACCGAGTGGTGCCGGATCTTGGCATCAAATATCGCAATCAGATCATCCTTGAATATATTGAATCACTCAGAAACCAGCTCGTGAAGCTGCAAAAACCCGAAAGCATCCGGAAAGCCGATCTTCCCTTTGTTCCACGTGTGTCACCACAAACCACCAACCCAGATCCGTACCGGACCGAACCGTTTCGGTGGCCTCCTTGGACCAGACCGGGCAGTCCCAGACGGCGAGGTCCCTGTGTCTGGGTAACGGTCCCGACGTGGGACCCCCACCGGTCCATCACCGAGAGGCGATCTCGCATCGTAGCCCTGAGGTGGACGGCTATTGCAACGGGTACCGGGGGGGGTATGAGTAGGGGTGGATCTGAAGACGACCCCATTGGATCTGAATGGTGATCTTCAAAGGCACCCCAACACTGGGGGAGCCTTTTTGGCCTTTGGACTGCCCCTGCCGTGATTTTCTGGGGGCGGCTGGAAGAAAACCCTTGACTCACCATGAGGGATTCGAGTGCATAGGCCCCCCCGTGCAAGGCTTCGACTGCAGGTCACTTGGATCCAACGGGTGATGTCTCACCGGGTGAATGTCCCGCTGTTGAGCAAGTGGATCACGGGGGCTTTCGGGCAACAACCTGAAAACCCAATAGAAAAGCCAGGTGACTCTACCCACCTGGTGTTACCGTCGTGTGGCGGAGTGACCCTTGTGTCTTTCCAACTTGGTGACCCTTTGAATTGCCCATCACTTCGCCAAAGCCAAGACCAAGCCTACCTAGCGCTTCCAATGGGTGTCAAATGGTGACCTATAAGCAGTGTGGGGTTGTCCATTGGCAACCCCTTGGAAGTAGCTGGTATGTTCTCCCAAATTTGGGAGACCAACCCATGCATGTTAAGTCTCATGCTCCGTCTGCATCACTCGCGCCCGCTCAAACGTGCAGTCTATGCAAGCCAGGTGCTCCTCAACTGGTACAAGTCGGGCATGGAGTGGTGCAGCCGATCAAAGAGGATTTCGAACCTCAGAAGTTCCAACGACTGCAAACCGCTCCTCCAAACCGAACGAATCACAGACCTCACCCATCTGCAACACTGCGACACAACTGCAAAAGAGGGCTTCGGCCTTCTGAAGGCTTCGGTTGGTTGTAGTGTAATAGTGCTTTTTTGTCCCACCCACCCCTCTCTCAACTCCTTTAACTACATGTACGAAAGCTACACTTTTTCTTTTGGCTCCATCGGTGGAGTCGAAACCTCCCATCCGTTTTCATGGAATGAGCCCTTTTAGGCCTCTCAGGCCTCAAAAGGTAGCGAGTCGAGCGGATTCTCAGTCCGTCCGTCGAAACGAATTGGAAAACTATCACACGATGACCTGCCAGTACCGCGGGGTCTCAGACGTTGCAAAGAACCCTAAGGTTAAAGAGGTTTCTGATGGGTCAGATGTAGAACAGAATGTCCATCCCAAGATAAACTAAGAACTAAGACATGTGCAGTTGGGAGGATATATGGTATCTATAATTTATATATATATATATATTACCTTCCACTTCCAATTCCACTTCCACCCGTGCTCTGGTCAATCCCCCCGGCCAACACCCCGGCGTTCCCATCTGCCTGGGGCCATTGTTGTCCGTCAGTTTGGCCGTGAAGGTGCCACTGCCTCGGCGGTGGACTGGGCCGTGTCGTTCGTGTTTGGAGGACCGGTCCGGACCGGCCACCGGGGCTGGAGGACCTGTAGGTCTCAGAAGGGGAGTAAGAAAAAGAGAGCATTGAGAAAGCATGAAAAGAAAACCTTTGGAAACCCCAAGGGATTCCCAGCAGAATGAACAAACCATGTCAGTTTGTGTGTGGGGGTCTCCACCTCTCTCAACTCTTGCTGCAAAAGAAGATCTCCTCCAGTCCGACTGAGGAGATCTTTCGGGTCTCTCTCAGGCATGAAGCGCTGGATCCAATCTGCGTTGGACCCAAACACCAACATGAAACCGCAAAAGAGAAGTAATCAATGTTTGAAAAAAACACTCTGAAATTTTGGAGACATGAAATACAATCCCAGTATGCTTGGGCATCCGAAGATGGTTTGTTGGCAGATGGTTTGTTGGCAGGGCCATCTCGACTGAACAATAGACTATCCAATGAAGGTTGCAGTGTCATCCTGGAGTTTAGAGCAAAAGAGCCGCTAATTGTCATGTGTTTGTTTCGCTTAGGAGTCGTTTGTGCCTGTATGAAAAATTCATCTGACCTCGATGTTTCAAAAGCATGTTATGTCTTATACTAATATTATATATATATATTATATATACACATCTATGATGGCAAGTGGCCATGGCAAAATATTAAGAACACGAAAATGGATCATCAGTTGTCCATCTGTTTCAAGACTTCTTCGACCGATCCTGGTGCCCAATCCTCCTGGTCCAACCCGACGTCTTCACCCGACTTCTTCGTTCGCCCAGAGGCCCACCGAAAGCGAGGTCAGGTAGGAGGTGGCAGTAAAGGCTCCAGAGCAGTCAATGGCCACCCCATCGATGAGCAAGCCCAGAACTGGATCCTGAGATGATGAACTTGGGAGAGTTTCGACACATTTTATAAGGGCATCGCTACTAGTAGCCATTACTATAGCAGCTTCTAGCTAGTTACTAGCAGTAATGCCCTTGTTGCTAGTAGCGATGGGAGGCTCATAAATCCAAACCAACTGTTACATGTTGGTTCGCTTGAAACACCCTTGTTGTTGGGGTCCAACTCCTAGCGAACTGAGGGTCCTCTCTGAGCCTTTGGGTAAAGTGAATCTCGAGAAATACATGTTTCAGAAATACATAATTTCTTATATATATATATATATAGTCCCTCATTCCCTGATGGCACCTGGATCCTCTTTGGAGCCGAATCTCAGGAGGCCACGTTCTTTTTGGGGAGGAATTTTGCCGAGTGTCCTTCGAAAAAATCTTTGGCACTCAATACTATGTGGGGTAGCTTAAGGAGTCCCCTGGGAAATCATGAATTCATGATTCTATTAATAGTGGGCATCGCTACTAGTAGCCCTTGTTACTACAGTAGAGATGCCCTTGTTACTAGCAGCTTCTAGCTAGTTACTAGCTGATTGATGGTGTTTCGGTCTTTCTTTTGTGCCGATGACCTGAATTCTCTTCTTGGACCCAACGGCACCATCTGGACTCCAAACCCTGATCCACGCCACCCTGATGCACCCCAAACCCCTTGAAGACTGCGCGCGCGTGCCCGGCATTCTCCAAGCTCAGGGCACTTCGTCGGAGCGCATTCTTCCGGAGTGGATCATGTCAAATCTCCTGAGGCAGCTCAGTGACATCCCCACGACACCTACTAGTAACAAAGGGCATCGCTACTAGTAACAAGGGCATTACTATTAGTAGCAAGAAGCTACGAACCGGTGGAGGCCATTGCTAGGCCATCGCTGTTGGAGGCCATCGCTACAGAACGTAACAAGGTTCGCTACGAGTATCTTCGCAAGATGTCTCTTTGAAAAGATGGATGGATCAGACCGGGGTCGACCCATGGCGCGTTAGATGAAGAACGAAGACAAAGGGGAGGAACATGATCACGGTCCCGAAAGGATGATGACGTTCCTCCAAGCATGGAACTGGGGGGGGTTCGACTTTCGTGTGCATGAGTCGGACCGTTTACATCGGGTGATCTACCGATTTGCTGGGCGGCTCCAGGTTTTGACTCATGCCAGTCCGACTCATGCCATGTGCCAATGCCTCATGAGGTGGCTGGGTTTCGACACCCGGGCCACCATGACCAACCGGGCCGGCTCATTCAACTCCGAATGAGAACTTGGAAGTGTGCATTCGCAAGACCAAGACCTCGTGTTCCACAAACATTCCAGCTGATTTTCCCCACCAAATCACCATCCAAATCCGCCACCCCAACCCCCCCTGCCCCTTTCCCCTGACCAGTGTCCTCACCTCTCCCAAATCCACCTCTCGCCAAGTGTCAGATTGTGACATTCCAGGTCGTGATATTTGAAGTAAGCAGAGCTTTCCTCGCCCTCATCCTCGGATTGTTGGTCCTTGGCAAGTCCGGAGCGTCGGTGCTTCTTTTGAGCAGTCCTTGTGCAATGAAAGAACATGGCCTGCTGCCGTTTGCACACGCAGAGAAGCCAGCAAAGAATGAACAGTGATTCTTTTTTGGTCAACCACTCAAAGACACCCAGAACAGCGTGCCATTTGGCAGTACAGGGTATGATCAGTAGAGGGAAGGCCAGCCGCGGCAAAGCGCCAGTGGGGATCCCAACTAATGGTCCTGAAACCGCACAGAACTACACTTCCCTTCAGAACTTCTTTGGGGTCCTGAAACCACACGAAAGGTATACCTGGTCGTTTTTCGCGTCTGTTCAGCCATTGAGGATGGTTCCATATCATCGTTTCACTATGTTTCACTGCGACAGTAGTTGGTCAATGTGGACCGCAATCCACTTCATCCCAGCTGCTCTGATCATACAAAAATATCAACTCTGATCGCAATACTGACGTGGCTTTGTACCGAGGTTGTTTGCAACTTGGAAAGGGTTTCGGGCTCCGGCCGCCATTCCCACTGAGCGCCAAATAAAAGCATAATGAGACAACATCGAAGGGTGAGATGCAAAAAAAGGACCACACGAGGAATTAGTTCTTCTGGAGATTCAATCTTGTGGGCATCATAGTTTGCCTGTTTATCTCTCCAAACGCTTGCCTTCTACTGCAATGTCCTTACGGACATCATATATCGGAAATATTAGAAAACATCAACAAACTACCAACGTTACCCGCAAAGACCATCAGAATTCCACAAAACATGTACAAATTCACAAGTCGTAGAGCAGTCCAAATGGATCCAAATGGTGAAATCCACGTGGAAGAGTGTCTAGTGTCCAGCTGCGGCGTTTTCCGCAATGACAAACCGCTGAAACCACTCGAAAGTGCAAAGCACATTAACCAAACAAACCTGTAGAATCCTTCCTTGGCTGTTTCTATCTGTTAAGTTCCATCTCCAGGCTGTTGTCTATCAGTGTTCCAGGCTGTTGTTTCTACTCCAGGCTGTTGTGACCATGAGATCTTTCACTTCCTTTTCCCAACGACGCGTGGTTCCTCGGTGCTCTCGGGATCTCGAGATGGCGGGCAAGCCGTTCCGAATGCACCCGAGAGACGTCACGGCTGTCGGCGGCATGGTGTTGTTCGGTCAGGTCAGGAAGGTCTAAGGCTGCCAGTGCATCCTGACCGAAACCTTCGGCCACTCGAGAGGTATGGGATGAAAACCGTTTGGAAGTCTCAAGCTGTCGCTGTCAACGACCCCCCCCCGTTGAAAGTCAACACCACGGCGCGGAGTCAGGGAAGCGAAGCCTCGGACAGAGGAACGCGAAGAGTGGCCAAGAGTGGAGAAAGACGTGGTCACTACCCAGACGCTCCGTGAAAACAGCTCGACTGGTCCCGAACCAAACCCCAGGGATTGGTTCGGGTCCGGACCCCTACTGAACGGAGGGTCCAGGGTCGCGTCTGGGTAGTGGACTTTCAGGCAGCCAACACACCTTTGGCTTCATGGATCTTCCCCCTACTGTACTTTTAATGTCCCGTTCCTATGTCACTCAAAGCTAGTAGAGATGACGGAATCGGGCTATCTTCTGTTTTACTAAGGATTGATAGAACATGATTTTCAGAGGCTTTACATTTCCGCATGGGGGGTGATTGATCAACAGTAAAGTTAGTATGAACATGTATGAACATGTTGTCCTCTCAGATCACTCATTGGAGGGGATCTTCTAGAAATAGCGAAAAATTAATGTTTTGCCAAAGTCTCCAGGTTCTTCAGCATGGCTGAACGCGGGCTCGTGCCCACATCCCACTTAGAACCCGACTGGACCCGAAGTTTTGCTGATGACATTTCCCTGAAGCCTTTCAAAACGGAGGTTTCGAGAAGAAGTTGGTATAGGATAGGAAGAAGATGGACTAAGAGATGGATCCAAATCCCTGCCAAAATTGTGACCAAGATGGAAGCCAATCGCGTGTCGCGTGGTTTCCTCCTACGTCGGGTGTTTCTGAAAGGAGAGCTCCAACCTGGGAAAAGAGAATAGTGGAAATGACTAAAACCCCATGAAAAACATCTGTTGCAAAACCTGACCTCTCCACGTGTTGATGGTGTACGCACCAGTTCACTAGACTATATAGGTGGAAAAATTTGTTCGATCTTTTTCGTTGATAAGGGATGATCAGGGCTGATACCGTGGATTGCTTGCGGAGGGTCAATGAGTCAATTCCCATTCATTGTTCTGTCCAATTCGCTGAATCCAAAAAACGGTCGCTTGGTTTGGGAAATTCCACAGAAACACTCTGGATTCAAATCAAAAAAACGATCAATCCACAAAACAGCCTGGTCGTTCAACTTGCCGAGAACGCTGGTGTCTGCCATAGTTCCTCGCCTTTCTCTTGTTTTGTTTGGTTTCATCGAACCGACCGCGGCTTCACTGCCCCAAGAGGCTGTAAGGATCCCAGCCACGTCCTTGAACGGAACGTCCCGGCTCCGGGTGTGCGAACGGTGGGACACCGCCGTGGGACACAAAAAAAGCAAAAGGCCACCACTTCAAGAAAAAGTCGTGCTCGGGGGTCAATTTCATCCACTTCAATCAAGTGGTGAGTGTCTCATCGGATTAGAAGCTCGCAATCAAGTCGTTGGTGAAGTTGCTGATGAGTTCAGCTGGATCAAACACCCCAGTCGTGGATCGGGTGTGTGTGTGTGTGTCACTCCCTGTTTCGAAGGGCACTGTCTTTCCCCATTTTGGATTCAGGCAGGGGGCACAGGCCCATCGTGGATACCTGTGCCAACGAAGCTGTTCCACGATGGGGGAAGCGGAGATTGATCACCTCCGTGTACCTGCTGAACTTTTTACAAGCTGTCACTCCACTCTTCCACGGCTTGATTCCATGGTCCTTGCACGATAGACCCCAAAACCTTTTCCCACCGCAGACTTGCAGCAGACTTGCAATCACACTGACTGTCAGAGTGCAAACATTGTTCAACCATACAGTTCTTGCCGACCTTTTCGCCATGCCGTTCCCTCACCTTCCTTCTCAACGTGGGAATTGAGTTAACTGCAAACCAATGTCAGAGTGTGTGTCGTTGCGGAGTCGAGGCAGCTAAGAATCGTCTCGGGCAGGAGTGATTTGTGTATCGTTCACTTAAGATCACAAACTCTGGCTCTGGGCCTGGAAATCCTCCATGCAATTATCACACATGTTTCTGATAAGTTTTTGCATGCCAAATGTAGAATGTAGACGACTACAGCCCCTCAAATTCCAGTCAGAGTGTTTTTGGGGGGAAGCCTTTAATCTCAATCACCACCTGGGAGTGTTTTGAGAGAGCCCAAAGGGCATGGGTTTGGAGGGAACCTGGGGGTCTCTGGAGCCTACCGAAGGGAGGCATGCTTCCGTCGACTTTTGATGAATGAAACCTCCCTGTAGGCCTTGTAAGACCTCTTCGTCAGAAGGCGAACGAAACGTCACGAGTCTACATGCCTGGCCGCACGAACGACAAAGTGCGAAAAGACCTGGCCGATGTCATCGCTTCGGCACCACGCCACTAGTGATCACTCTCCCAGAACAGACGACTCATTTTACTCCATCTGGTCGTCATAATCCACTACTGCCAGTTCCGGGGTACAATGAGTCATGACTGGACTCCTAGGGGATCTGGATTTTCAGGCGGTTCACCCCGATCGCCACCACCCCCTTTCGGAATGGGAAGCTCCGAAGACCACCCGGCCCTAAGACCACTCGGCCCCTTCTACCATCTTCTACCTCCCTCAGCCCTGAACACATTTTTGGGCACAGCCACTCGGCCCACCGTGCAAAGCGAGTCCGGGACATGAGTCCATTCCATGGTCTGAGTTTTCAATGTTTTCAATGTTCAGCATAGTCTTCAGAGACCACCAGGGCTGACTGTCAACCAGGGCTGACTGTCATGCGCCATGTCCGCTAGCTGGGGAGAGAGAGCTTGGTACTAACTCACCAGACCTTCCTCTCAGTCTCAAGGCCAAGCGTCTTCAGAGGGTCCGCCGCCTTCCGAGGACCGGGGCAGCCCGGCTGTGATAGGCATCAACTGGAAGGAGACTCTTTTTGGAAAAAGCCTTGAAGGGGTAAGCATCCGTGTCAAAGGAGGTTGATGCTCCGCGTGGTGAATGGTGAGCTGGTCAATATCCGCCTGGTCGGCACCCCCCAGAGACACAAGTATGTAGATGCTCATGTACTTAGCAGAATTAGCCAATGAAGAACCTGGTTCCATCTCCTTTCAATGTGGGTTATACCTAGCTCCCCTCATCAGGTTCCCTTCGTTGCTCGGCCCACTTGTGGGAAGTCCCGAAAATCGCAGCCACTCACATCACCGAACGCCCAAGGGCCCAGCCTGAGTAAAGGGACACCTCAGGAAGCAGTTGATGAACAGCGTTTTCACGCCCAGTCTGACATGCTGGGTCTCTTTGCAAGATGTTCTGAAATAAATAAAGTGTGTTGGAACGGAACAGCCTACAGGGTTTGTAGGGTTCAAGTACAGGGTTGTAGGGGACTGGACCAAACTGTGATGCCCTGCTGTACTCCCCCCACATCTCATTATGAGATCCACGTCTGCCGTCCCAAACAAAGCTGGATAGAGCGGAGCATGGTAGTTGGGAGTTGCTCCAACGATTTGAATTTCATGACATGCGTGGCAAAATCCACCCCATGTGATGCCAAAATCGCTGTTCTTGATGGCAGAAGAAAGCTGTTCTGTCCTGAACCCCGTGCTCGCTGGCTCGCTCTGAAAACACTTGGCCCATCTGCATACCCTACCATCCTACATCTATCTGTGACTTCCATTCAGCTCACCAATCTCACAAAACCACTACGAATCCGTCACTGACCAGGTCCTGCAACAAGCCCCTGAGCAGATCAAGACGCTGAAGGAGCAAGACGCTGGAGAAGATGAACCACATCTCCATCGCCATTTCCGGCTCTGCACGAGGAACTCGCTGAACTCTCCAGCGGTCTTGCATTAAGAGTTCGCAGGTTGCACTTTTTGCAACTATATGGCAGCTATGAAACTGATCCTCTGCGGTGCATAGCTGAGTTTTAGATATCTCAGCATGCTCGCAGCAAGTGAATCACAGTTCTAGAGCGCTTTATGTAGGCATCCGGCCGAATGAGGTTCTTTTGTGTTGATGATTGCTTCCCGTGCGCACCTTCATTGCGTTGTGAAAGTTGTACTGACAGTACTGTATACCTAGAAACCATTCCCTGCTTTTGGGTGGCAACTCTTGAACATCGTTTCCTTCTGCATGAGGCAAGGGTCACCACCACCAAAACGCGGTAACCTCGTCGTCTCACTTTTCGGGGCGGTGCGGCCACACCGACACAGCGAGCTCTCCCGAAGTCCACGCGAGTCGTCAGATTACGGAACGAACCGAAGCTGGTGGACTAGGTAAGAATTGGATTTAAAGGATCCCAAACCAAAATCCAAGATCAATCCTTAATGCTTCGATCACATGTCCTGGTATGTTTGAGTGAAAAAATATGTGTTGGTCCTACCCTTTTGGTTCTACTTCCATGATCATTTCATTTCTCTTGGTGTCTTCGATCACATGTCCTAGTCGCAGTCGCACCCTTTCGGTCCATCAACACCGTGGCTCGGACGCTATGGCTTGGTCGCGGGTGTGGTGTGCCGGAGCTTGGTGAGAAGATTTGAAGAACCGAGTGGCGTCATCTCAGTGCCTTCCAGTCTGTACTAGAGCCAGCTGAAGCGCCCCGCGGGAGGAAACACCAAGAAGTGAAAAGAAGAAGGGTTTCTCACGGAGAGAGACTCTGCCCGTCCATAGCTTGGCTCTTCACAGAAGGGGTCGTCATCGGGTTCTGGTTTCTCCCCACACGAAGTCTGGTGCTGTGGCTTTGTGGTGGATCTGACCCATGGAAGAAGGGCTTTGGGTGGGCGAGCAAAGCACACTTCCAAAAGGGGTGTCTATTCAAACAGGGAGATCCTCGCAGACCTCCCAGGCGACACCCTGGAAGAAGGAAAATAGACAAGTCCCCTTGGGTGAGGATCTCCCTATTAAATTACTATAGCATACTATGGCCTATAAATAGGTTCCCAAAGACAAGAGGATCGAGTGACCCAGGAAGGAGTCTTTTTGAGGAAACACGGGAAGGACCGACCACACCCAAAACACTTCTTGGGACCTTCAGAAGACCGCAGTCGTTTTCCCTGTTTTTTGCGGATCGAATAAGGTCCTTGAGTTGAGGTTTACCCCACTTCGTCTTTGGCAAACTCAACGTCCACCTCTTTCAAGATCTCACCTTACTGAGAGGTATGCCCTAGAAAATTCTATTGGAAGCTGGTTGTAGGGGAAAATAGTCTTCCAAAGGTAGCCGTACCCAATCCTGTCTGGAACACTGACTGGTGCCGGGTCTCTTTTTGGGTCGACGAACCGCGATGGGTTCCCAGATCCAAATAGTTGACGATTGAGGACTTCGCCTTGGATTGTCCAGGTGAGAAATCACTTCACCTATGTTGTTCCCGCATTGGAACAAGAAGGCATGCCAGCACTGACCGCAAAGTGAGTGACCTTCACAAAAACCACTCCATTGACAGAATTGACTGGCTCCAACTAAGGAAGTGCCATCCACCTTTCTTCACTAAGTGATTGCTGCATACGACTGGACTCTCCATGAGAGGCTCCTCTCCTCCACTCCTCACCGCCCACCGCGCACCGTCCGCGCCTCTGAGCGTCATGGACCTCAGTGTTGCGGATGTATCGACTCAGGCCACGGTGCCATGGACTTGGTGCTGAATCGGCAAAACACGTGGGTCGAAATCGAACCCATGGGTCGCTGTTTTAAGTCGATGTTACCACGCCCGTAAAAACTGCTGCTCTCTTCAGAATGACCATTGTGTTATAATATCCTGTATTTGGACAGTTGACGAGTACGCTTTGAGAGAAATCGTTCAGCCCTGCCAGTGTTTCACAAAAGTAACGGATTGAAACGGTGCTCGACTCTTTCGGGAAATACCGAGGGCTTGAGCTGATGCTCTGTGCTCTGTTCCACAGCCCAGGTGACTCCGGCTCAAGCGGATCCAACATGGAACCCTAAAAAACCACTGGGTTGCCTGGTTCTTCAAAGTGATCGTACTTGATAACCTGGTCGGTTCGGTCACTTAAGCCTGTTAAGGGTCACTTCGGAACCTTCAAAGGTCACTTTGAAGAAGTTGGAAAATGTTGGAAACATCTTGGAAGAAGGGGCGAAACAGGTCGAAACCACCGCGGGTCTTGTTCTTCTCAGGGGCTCGTGGGATCGTATCGTCTCATGTTCTTCACCAAGCGCCCACTGACCTCCCTCCCAGCTGGTGACAACAGCTGGTGACAGCTGGTGAAGCCTGGAACTGGGAATGCTCTTGGTTGAACCGTGGCCAAGAAAGCGAACATGAGTCAACAGTGTCATGTCTAATGATGTGTGTGTATTTTTTTCAAAACACCCCCCGCACACGATCCCATGGACCGTGAGAAGAAAGAACCACGGTGTGTTCGACCCTTTTTCCTTTTTTTTTCAACCCAGTGGTTTGGGGGTTCCTTGTGGTCCTGTGCAGGGGAGTATGTGTCCAATTTGCCCAGGGTTCTGATTCCTTAATATATAAACATGTTTCAACCCAGCCCAGACCCACCAGCCTAAAGTGGCCCAGACCCCGGCGGCAAGGGAGGCCGATTCGAGCCAGCGTGCTGCCGATTTAAAAATATATGGAAGTGTCCCAATCACCGGCGGTGTAACAGGAGTGTTTTTGGACCCCTATACCATTTCTTTGCCATCCAATAAGCATCCGAAAGGGTTACGTCCACAAACAGCAGAAAATATGATTCCTCTCTCCGACTCCCTTTCTCGATCATCTGAGGTCTATGTCTGCACGTGTCTCCAAAGCCTCAATCCTTCAAAACCTCGTGACTGCAATCAGAAAGGTCTGCCACAGACCCACACCTCAGCCCGACTCCTGCACCTCAGCCCGACTCCTGCACCTGGCCTGGTTGCGGGCACGTGGCCTACGGGTCCTCTCCACCGGCTCGACAGGAAGATGCTCGTAGATCTCCAGGGGGGGTTGAGGGTCTCTTGTTCATCAAGCGTCTGTTGCATGAATTAAAACGTCCCCCATTCTTGCGCCAGATGGAGATGTAAAACATTGTAGAACCATTCTGGCGGTGTTATCGGACACGAGGGTGTCGCAACTTGAGCTCAAGAATGCACCCTTCCCATGTCCTCCCTCACACCTCCGGTGGAACGGTGGCATTCCTTTTGGGTCATTGGCTGTTGTGGAGCTGAGCTCATGCGAAGCAGGCGTCTTAGCCAAGCAGACTCATCCACGGGTGGTGGACTGCGCGAGGATGCGTAGCCATCGGATCGTGGTGAAGGTTTGATTGCAGCCCTTGATAATCCGACCTCCATAGGGGGGCACCAGTGATATTCATTCATATGGATTGTTCGTGTCTTTTTAAGGGGTGGTTATGCGGAGAAGAAATCGCTTCGACATCGGTCTTGAGGGGTTCCTGATCTATTGTCACAATCTTGTGATTATCCTAGCCTAACCCTAACCCCTCTGGGTTGCTGAGGCTACAAGTATCTGGTACCTGAGACTGTGACAACTGACCATGGAATTGGCGGGCAGCTGGCGGCACTACCAAGATTCAAGAATTAGAGACCGCAACCTGCATCAACCGACTGCTTCAAACGGGATGACATGTCAAAATCCACATGCGTACGCCCCCCCCAATCTAAGCCACCCTTGGAGAAGCCACTCTTCACTTCAAAGTCTCACGGACTTCGAACATTCTAGAGACTTCCACGAGAGGTCGAATTCAGAGAACGTCGGCTCAGAGTGCTGGAAAGACCTGCAGGGTGGATCCACCGGACCCCGATCCCCGTGCTTCAGAGGCCACGGCGCGGAACACCCGGATCGAAAGTCACCGTTGGTGGGACCGGGCGGATGGTGCAGGTTCAGCGGATCCCCAAACGGAGGGTGTCAAGGAGTCCCAAACACAAGTGGCCTTCCTGTGGCCTTCGTGGCTTTGACGGGTCAATGGGACAGGTCACAGACTGGGCGGAGGCCGAGTCCCTGCCTTTGATGCTTCCCCTCTTACCTGAACTCACCACTTGGGGTGTTGGGCGTTGAATGTTCGAGGGGCACCGTCCTTGACATTCCAAGGGTTGTAGTTGTCTTTTTGCAAAACATTATATATATATATATCAGCTATACAAAGACGGCTATTTTGAGGATGCTTTCCAAAAGAACATCAAACCTCAAATAACAACCGTGTGGTTCAAGCAGCTTCTCATATATATGATATGTTTGTCCATTAAGGATGCAGATTCTTCCAACCCCATGCTCTCTCTGCTCAGGCACTCTCTTGATGGGTCAACCAAGGAAGAGCGGGATGCGTCACCGAACAAGCCCAACACGTCCACCGACTTCACGACCAATAACCCGATCGGTCACATCATCTGGAGTTGTGCGTGGCGACTTTTGACTGGTAGCCTGCTTTTTTGTGAAGTCGATCATGGAAAACTTCACAAACACAAGTCCCTCCCAACATATTTTATCGAAGCCCGGCCCTTGTTTGGAGACTACTTGAGACATGGCTACTATCGGCTGGGCCGATGGTGGGCTATGGTACCTTGCCCTCACCGCAACTCTCAATTAGCGACTACCGGGCACCTTTGTTCCGAACTTCCTCCTTCTGGCGTAGCTCCTGGAGAGGGTGACGAATCATGGGAACTGCTCCTCAGCAGCAAGGGGTTGTTTAAGCCTCCTGACTAATTTAAAGCTAGCGTCTAGTCGTGCGTTCTTTTCCTCAAAATGAGCTTCTGGCAGAATTGAGGGGTTCGTCTTTCTTCCAGGTCAAAGGTCTGAGGAATATAAGGTGGTCCGGAGTAGTCATCCTTGTTTGGTGGCTTTGGTGTTGAAGCTCGAGGTCATAAGTCAACAAGTGGACACCGATAACATCTCATGCAATAACCAATCCAATAGAAAACGTCATTCGCACATATCTTGTCTCTTCCATCTTGGCTGCTTTGTCTGCTAGTGCACTCAGTACTTCTTGCCCCCTAAAAGACAGAAGCAGCTGTCCACCTGACTCAAGTAGCTTTCCTCGCAGGAGAATACGC